GCCCTGATTCCTTCAGGGGCTCGAGGCAGGTCTGTGTAGAGACAGTGGAGACCAGCTCACAGAGAGGCTGAGGTGCTTATTTAGAATGGTTCAGCCACATAAGGGGCCAGGCTGCACACAGTGGGACATCAGGCCTGGGGAGAGGCAGGGGACACAAGCAACCTGGGAGGTTACAGGGGACAGGACTTGGCAGAGTTGCCCAGTGGGGGTCATGGGGGAGGGAGATGCCCAGGCCTCGGGTGTTTGCAGCTGGGGAGGTAGTAGAGCCACACAGAGATGGGGTGGGTGGCGCAGGCTTGGAACAGGCTGCAAATGCAGGTGGGTAGAGAACTGGGTTTGCACATGAGTTTGAGGCACTTACGAGATACCTGGTGGAGATGCCCAGGGCAGAAGCAGTGAGCCACTGGGGCTGGACCCTGATCTTCAGGCCCCAAAGCTAAGAGCCTATTTAATGCCACACAGGCCCACCTCCCGCGGCCTCCACTTGCTTTCACAGTCTCTCTGGCCTCCTCATATACTGGCTGCGAGCCCGTGCTGCGGTTTCTCTTGAGTACGGCCTTGACCTTACCTGCAAAATGACCTTCTCATCTGCAAATTGAGGCTGCCACTGTCCAAGGGCTGCAGCCCTGCAGTTCCAGAATCCCACGTCACAGCCAGGACCGGGCCAGGGCCCTCTGACCACCCGAGAAAAGAGGCAGCACCCGGGATGGATGGCCTTTATAGTGAAAAGAATTTGTGGTGTGAAGCAATGATGAATGCATGAGGAGGTGAGTGAGCGAGGATCGAGTGAAAGAATAAAAACGCACAGCATGTCCTCAGTAACGTTGTTCCATTCATCGCCATTTTGGTATAAAGTTGATGAGAAGCAAAATCAATTCCTGACAACAAAGGCGAGATGGCGGATGTGCTGGAGCTTTACGAGGCCAGGGTGAGGATTTCCCCGTAGATGAGGGGGGACAAGAGCACCCACAAACCAAAGGAAGCGAAGCAACGGAAGGGCTGCAGCTTTGGCTCTGCAGGGGGTCTCGAGCGTGGACGTGTGCGGGTTATGGCAGCGTGGAGTGGGATGGAGGTGAACCCAGACCACCGCGCTCTGCTGAGGCTGGATTCTCTTCATCATTGCAGTCCACAAGGACGCCCACCAGAGAAGACATCCACGACAAATTTGCCCACCTCAGCCTGACGGGGTACAGGGTACCTGACGAGCGTACTCTGATTGAGTAAGAAACATACGAGGAGGCCCAGGCTGCTGTGGAGGGACACAATGGCACCCCCAGGGTTTGATAGGACATCCGATCAGCGTGTACCGGTGCGTTGTTACTGTTTTCTTTTTAGATTTTATTTATTTACTTTTAGAGAGAGGGGAAAGGAGGGAGAAAGAGAGGGAGAGAAATATCAATGTGTGGGGCCTCTAGTGGGGACCTGGCCAGCAAACCAGGCATGTGCCCTGACTGGGAATCGAACCAGTGACCCTTTGGTTCGCAGGATGGCACTCCATGAGCCACACCAGGGCTGCCCTGGTGTTTTGTTCAGGGTCCACCCAAGAGCAAAGGAGCAGTGACTGAAGATGCAGCAGGAGTCCAGACGGAGGGGCCGCCCGGAGGTCCCCTGTTGTGCGGATGTCCCCTCCAGAGACTCCATTCTGCCATGCAGCCTTGGAGAAATAGGGCTGGAAAGGAACTCACTGGTTATAGTTAATGTCTGACCCTGTGGTTTAGTGGTGGGTTTTTTTAGTCACAAAAAAAAAAACTGAAGTTTTTTTTAGAATAACTGTCCCATTTTTGTTTTCTAAAAAATACAACTCCCAGTGGGAGCCACCGCCTGTGTGGAGTTTGCACATTCTCCCGTCTGTGCAGGTTTTCTGCGGGGACTCCAGGCTCCTCCCACACCCCCGGGGTGTGCGCACCGTGCCCATCTGAGTGAGCGGGGTGTGAGTGAGTGCGCCCCGCCATGGAGGCCCATCGCATTCCGGGCGGTGGGTCCTGGAGCTGCTGGGAGAGGCCGCCTGTGTTCCTGAATTAGAGTAAGCGGGTTGGAAAATAATTCTCTTAGTTGTTATTATTAATCTCTCTTAAATCTAGGCATAGCTGGCGTGGCTCAGTGGATTGAGTGCAGGCCTGCAAACCAGAGTATCGAGGTTTGATTCCCAGTCAGGGCACATGCCTGAGTTTCAGGCCAGTTCCCAGCAGGGGACACATGAGAGGCAACCACACATTGATTAAAAAAAAAAAATCTATGCATAGCTCACATTTATTTCAATGCTTAATGTTAGAAGTGTTTGGGATACTTATTTAGAAGTTTGACGATGTGTTTGTGACCAGAAGTGGGAACTTAGCTCTCCTTTCTATCAATTAGCCGAGGGTAAGTAAAACCGGTTTCACTGTGCCTCATCTCATGCCTGTCGACAACGTGAAGTGAAGACTCACTGTGTGAGTGAGTGACGGTGTGCCTTTCTAGAACATAGAGGCACAGAGTGAGGAAGAGGAAGGCGTGCTGTCCTGACAGTCGTTTAGCAAATGAAAACCACCTGTGCTGTCCCTGGCTCTTCCTCCCAGTGGCCGTTCGTCTCCTCCCCCAGCCTGCCCTGGGGACAGGAGAGGGGCTGGGGTGCGCAGTGGCCCTGGAATGGGGGAAGGCCAGCAGAGGAGGCTGGGGGTTGGGACGGATTTGAAGATCCGAGGCCTGACCAGCAGTTTCCTGGTGTTTTCCGCAGAGAGCGCGGCAAGGGAAGCAGCAGTTCATCCAGGTTCCCTTGGCTCCCCATTCTTGTCAAGCCTGCAGCTGCAAATCCAAGCTTTTCCTTATTTCTGGCCCCATGCCGTTCCTTTCCAGCCACTTGATCAAAGTCAAGGTACCTCCCTTCTGCCCCCACCTCCACCCTCCATAAAGTTCCCTGGGGCCATCGGACCCGGGAGAGTGGACTTCACTTCCTGGTCATGGTCGACAGGGAACTTAGGTTCAGGCTGATGCCTCCCCCTTTGCAGCTGGGCGATTTCAGACTTGTTACCTAAATTTCCGAGCCTCTACTTCCTCATCAGTAATCCGCCCCCACCTCCCACATGCCTGTGTCTGGCACTTCTAAGTGTCAGCATATAAAGCTGTGAGCGAGATTCACATTTGTTGTTCCTCGTCTCCATCCTGGTTGCATCGTGTTACCTGGAGATGCGGTCACCCTCTGGAACCTCTGTTCTATTTAGGGGAAAAAAAGCAACTCTCAGGGCTTCTCCAGACCAGTCTCACTTTCTGTTTAGGATAGGAAGAGCTGCCTTACTCACTGTCCCGTTGGCACACTCAGGTAAGCGGGACACGAACAGTCCCTTCCTAGTGTCTGACAGTCTGGTCCCAGAGCCTCCTTCTGGCTAACCGAACTCTCTCCTGCCCCGCAGTCCACAGAGCAGCGGTGAGCCAGGGAGGCTCAGAAACCGTTTCTCATTCCCCCTACTGGGACATAAAAAGCTGGCCAGGCTGATACTGAGGGGGCTTTGGGAGGTCTCTAGCCCCTAGTCACCCCCAGAGTATCAACACATTAATGGGCCGGTTTTGCAGACCCAACCCTGAGTCAGGCAGCCCGTCTCCCTGCCACACTTCTGCCCCTGCCTCGCTGTGGAGCACCAGGCACTCACCTGCCCGTGCCCTGAATACTATTTCAGCACCCGGACCACCCTGCTGGCCTGCGGGGGGTCTCAGGAGCTGGCATGTCTATTGCAGCTGTGAGTGAGCTGGCCTGTGTGCAGGGCATGGGGGGCTGGGGTTCTGGGGAGGTTGTGCTCACCAGGCTCACCAGTACCTACAGGGCTGGCCAAAAAGTCCGCTTAGTTTTTTCCATGAAATAAAACACGCATTTTTCATTTTCACCAATAACTTGGACAATGATTTGGGCATTTTGAGTATGTTGGCTCTCTCCCACTGTTGGCTTCTAGTGGGCAGAGGCCAGGGTGCTGCCAAACATCTTCCAGTGCACAAGGCAGCCCCACAGCAAAGTATGATTTGGGCAAAATGTCAGTAGTGCCAAGCAACTTCGCAAACTGCTTTTGACACATTCAATCAGTCACCGCACCTTCTCCATGTGCTGCACAAATCTTATTTTGTGTCTCAGTTGTGTTTCTACCTTTCTTGAAATAATAAGGCATAATACTCTGAAACTGTTGTGTATCTTTTTTGCATATCTTCTTCCATCTTCAGTATTAAAATAGCTGCACCAAAATTCACCAATTCTGTTTTTTATTTTTTTCTTTATTTTAAAAATATTTTATTTCTTTTTTCTTTTCTTCTTTTTTTTTTTTTAAGAGAAAGGGAAAGGGAAAGAGAAAGAGGGAGAGAAACATCAATGTGTGGTTGCCTCTCATGCGCCCCCTACTGGGGGCCTGGCCCACAACCCAGACATGTGCCCTGACTGGGAATCAAACTGTGACCCTTTGGTTTACAGGCTGAGCCACACCAGCCAGGACCTCACAGACATTTCTAACGTTAAATTTAGTATCTCCTCAAATCATCATGTCTGCAAAATGCATGTGGACCCGGGCCTCATCTAGGCAGGCTGGGGCTCAGGGTGTCCCGGCTGGCTCAGGGCGTGCTGTTGGCCCAGCGAGGACAGAGAGGAGCTGCGAAACAGCAGCTGCTTCTGCTACCAAAGCCTAGCACGGCCTCCCGCTGCGGCCCAGCCCCACTGGAGGCCCCACAGTGCCCCTGGTCCACGGCTCTGCCCGGCCGCCCTCCAGGGAGCAGAACCCAGGGCCAGAAGGAGGCCCTGACTCGGAGGGGGGGTGGGCACAGACAGGTAGAAAAGCACAGTGGGCAGACCCGCATGGAGGCTGGAGAATCCTGGGATTGGAGAGTCAGGAAAACTTAGAAAAGCAAAATCCTAGGATTGGAAGACTGCAGGTGCTGAGGCTCCAGGCTGCGGACCGAGGGGTGGGCCAGTTCAGGAAGCTCCCCTCCCCCATCTGTTATTTCTTTCGTTACAAAGCTGCATTTGCCCCACCAGTCTTACCCTCATCCTGCGGTGATCAGTCGGGGCCTGGTGTGTGTGGACAGATTTCCTCTTGTTGATTTGGGGCTGGTTGTGTTTTAAAACCGGAGCCCGGCTTGCTTCTAGCAACGCGAAAGCACAAACAGTGTGTGTCGGTACGAGAGAGTTACAGTGACTTTTTTCCCAAAGTGCCCAGTTAACACTATGACAGAGCAGCACTTTAAACATTAATGAGCAATCAATACAGTGACTCCACTTACATGCGGCACCTGGAATAGTCAGACACACAGAGGGGAGGGGGAGGGGAATGGGGAGTGAGGGTCCTGCCAGCGGGCACAGAGTGTTTGGGGGATGAAAGCGTTCTGACCGAAGGAGTGGTGACGGCACACAGTGCTGTGGACATACGAACACCACCGAACTGTGTGCTTGTAAAGGGTGAATTTTATGGTGTGTGAATTCTTTTAAAAAAAGTTATCTGTTGTCGTTATAACATCAAACTGCAGTGACTTGTAAACAGTGAGTCAGCTGCGCCAACCTCGGTCTCAGAGCGAGCCACTGCCCGCATCTGGGCAGGTGTCCTTTCTTCCCGGTGACTTACCGTGAAACAAAAACACAAGAGAAAGCAAATAACTCGGGTGGCTCAGTGGACTGAGCGCTGGCCTGTGGCTCATTCGATTCCCAGTCGGGGGGCACAGGCCTGGGTTGTGGGCCCGTCCCTAGTTGGGGGTGTGTGAGAGGCAACTGATCAATGTTCCTCTCTCTTTCTTCTTTCCCCTCTCCCTAAAAATAAATGAATATAATATTTTTAAAAGAAAACAATAAAATAAAATGCCATATACACACACCTGTAAATGTTTAGAGACATAAATGTGCGTGGTATACAGCTGGGTCACATGCTGCAAAAATGGGAGCCTGCTACACCTGTTATTCTGTGGCTTGTTCCCTCACTTCTTCTAAAGATGTATTTCCATGACGTTCTTCTTAATAGCCGGGTGTTGTCCTGTTGTCCAGCTGTGCTGGATCCGAATCACCCAGTCCCTTACTAATGAGCACTTGGGCTGCGCCCTGCGCTTTGCTGTGAACAGACAACGAACATCTTTGTCTGTGTCCGCCCATCTCAGTGCCCTCGGGACAGCGTTTCTGGATGACAGAATCCTACACACAGGCCTCTTCGTGGCAGGGTGGCAAATCCCTACCTTCCAGAGATGTTGACACCAAACTTTGGACGGGCGACATCCTTGTCTGGGGTCTTCCAGCAAGGTAGTGGCATAGGGAACAGGTGGAGGGCGAAAGGGGGCCGGCCAGGCGCCGCCTCCCACCCCCAGGAACACGCATGCACAGGTGGGCCTCTGGCTCTGAGAGAGAAGTCGCCCCCGGCCTCCAAACAGGTGCAGAATAGGAGGACTCTGCAGCCAGAGGTTCTCAGTCATTTCCCCCATGGCCTCTGCAGGACCCTCCGGGGCTGTTCCAGCCCCTTCCGTCTTTCCGATAAACTTACCTGGAGGTCTCTGTGAAAATCATGTAAAGCATAGGTCCTGGTTATTCATTCACTTATTCATGCCCAGTGCTCATTCTAGGTGAACTTCTCCCTCCCCAGTGGCTCTGGGTTTTTTCCTTTTTTTAAATCCTCACCTGAGGATATGTTTTTATTGATTTGAAAGAGAGACAGAGAGAAAAACATTGATCGGTTGCATCCCTATGTGCCTTGACCAGGGGTCGAACCCAAAACCCAGGTGTGTGCCCTGACAGGTGTGACGGGAGTTGAACTTGCCACCTTTTGGTGTGTGGGACCACCCTCCAGCTAACTGAGCCAGCCAGCCAGCGCAATTTTTTTTTTTATTCACCTTTGCACCTCCCCCCTTCACAGTTCTTCTACAAAGGGGGTTGGCCAGAAGAATGGTTCACTTTGACCCAAACTAGTCAGACGCCTCCCCTGGACGCCTGCTGTTCCTTGGGCTTCCTTTTTCCTTCCTTTATTGTGCTGGGCAAAAGCATTGCTGGATCTGCCTCGCTGACCAGACTAGCCAGCACTTCCCTGCCAGGATCCTGCCCCACCACCTGGATGCCTGCGGCTGTTACGAAGGCCACCCTTTGTCCCCATGGTCTCGAACACAGCCCCTTGCTTTCTTTTCTTCTGAGCACCTCTCACCATCAGAAGTTGCCTTCGTTGGTTTGTTTACTTGTTTACTGCTCATCTTCCCAACCAGAATGTTAATTCCATGAGGACAGGAATTCCCTGTCTCGTTCTCCCCCATCTTCCCTTGGACTCAGCTACTTGTATCTGTTGCATCCACATTTGAATATAAATGCCTGTGCGAGGGCTGGAGGCGAAGTTTGAAACTGACAACCATGGCTACTTTTTAAAAAAAAATTATTTTATGCATTTCTTTGAGACATGGCCTGGGGAGCCAGATCTCACTCTCCAAGATCTTAGGAGGGGACTGGAATTGAGGGAGACTAGTAGGAACTTTAGCTTTATTTTATTTTTAAATTATGGGTAAGGAAAAGGTAGAGAACTCTACATTGATAGTGAAAAATAAAGAAAAGCACTGAATGAAGGACCCAAAGCCCTTTGACCTGACCCTGAAATGAGGGCCTGCTTTGGGGCCAGCGATCCGACTTGCTGAGATGTCCGCAGCTTCTGACCTCACCTGAGGGCATGGTCTCTCCTCCCACCTGAAGCCGGGTTTACAGTCCGAGTAGCATGTTTCCATCTGTTGTCTCACCTGACTCCCCACAACCCTGACACACAGGCCAAACAAGGATGATTATCTCCATGTCACAGGCTATGCCACTGGGGTTCATGGGGCGAGTCGTCTGGCCTGTGGTCACGCAGCTGTGGGCACACAGGCCCTAACTTCCTATCATGGTGGGCTGACTAAAATAAGGAACCTGTGAAACCCACAGATGGTTCGTGGGGGCCCAGAGGGCTGTGCCGCGTAAGCTGTTATGGCAAAGGGATCAAGGTCAGACCTGGAGTTCTTTTGGGGGACTGATGGGAGCCCGAGGTTGGTGAGGACAGGGTTTTAATGGAAGTCCTGGAACGTGCTGGTATGAGGGTTCTGAGGCCAGGTCCCCGATTTAACGAGAGCACCTGGAACCTCCCTTTCCTGGATTTGCTTTCCCAGAGAAGACAAGGAAGGTAGGAGGTGACAGCGTGGACAGGTAAAGGGCCAGGAAAGCTGGCCAGGCAGCCCCTTCCTAAGTAGCCTGAGAGGCCCCATTCTGAGCCGAGACGGTGGCCTTGCAGCCTCAGACAGACCCAGGGGGTGAGGATGGTCTAAGCTGGCAAATTGGGGCCCCCCGCCCTCAGTCACCATTGTCTCCTGGGCTGGGACTCAGCAGACCTTGGAGAAGGTGGGATTCCCCAAGTGAGCCTCTCTGCTCGATAATTCGCTCCAGGCCCAGGCGACAAGCTGGGTACAAAAGGTTTTCAGCCCATTTTACATGTTTACCAGGCACCAGGAATCAATAGTTAGCATTTCTGGGTGATGACTAAACAGGAGGCATGTCTTAACATGCCAGCTACCTGGTGAATGAGAAGTTATCCCCATTTTTGAGATGTAGAAACTGAGGTTCAGGGTGGCTCAGGATCACACGGCTGGATGCTTGGGAAAAGCCCAGATATGAGCCTGGGGCGGTGTGACTCCCAAATCCCTGTTCTTTCCATTCCCCACTCTCCACCCACCCCAGAGCCCAGCGGTGAGAGATGACTAAGACCCTGCTCCTTCCCTTGGTGGTGGGGGATGGGGTGGAGCCGCAGACCCATCCAGTGCACTGGTCAGAGTTACGTCACTGCCCTGGCAGCCGGCAGCCAGCCAGCGGGAGGCTGATTAATCTCGGCAGGAGGACAGGCCTCTGGGGATGGGTCCCCACCGAAGGAAAGCAGTGGAGAATGATTCCAGGCCTGAAACCTAATGCCCTGCCAGAGAGGACATGGGTCCTTCCCCTAGGAGTCCAACACACCAACACCAAAATCGGGGGAGGCCCAGGGCCCCAGGGGGGCGAGGCGATCCCTGAGCACAGAGGGTCAGAACCCCGCGGGACAGGTGGTCAGGCTCCATACACCATGGAGTCTCCCCGGCAGGCTGTGGGGCCCGGGAATGTTGGCCGGGAGGTCAGGGGCGTTTTGGAGTGGTGAGACAGGGTGAAGGAAGCTGATGGCCTTTTGGGGGCGCACTGGAGTCTGTACGGGAACTGCCTGAGTGGCCTGAGGTGGTGGGGTGTGTGTGGGGGTCTCCCAAAGTTTCAGGCCAGGGTAGCTAGGTGGGTTTAGAGACATCCATGTGGGGAATTTGCATGGTTTTAGGCCAAAGAGCGAGGACTCAGGATGGGAGGAAGAGGCGAGTTCCTGGTGGGCTGCGTGGTGGAGGCGGTGGGGTGGAGGAAGTCATTGTGGGGAAGGGTTAGTTGGCGGGGCGTGAGGGGTTCAGAGTCCGCCCCAGAGTTCTCTGAGGAGCCACCATGTGGAATCGGTGACTGGGGATCACTGGGGACCACTGCGGGGTGCCGGGCGGGTGGGGAGTGGGGGGGTCCGCATCTGGGGGCGGAGCTGCCGCTGGGTGGGGCGCCAGGCCACCGCCCCCTCCCCGATCCCGGGCGGCGGCGGGCGGGGACCAAGGCGCCCGCGGCCGGCCCACAGCCAGGGGAAAGGGAGGCGGTGAGTAGGCGGCGGCCGGCCGGGCTGGTCCGGGCAGGTCCGGGCGGGGAGCACGCTGCCGGGCCGGGACCCCGCGCCGGAGCCCGAGCTAGTACCCCAGGCCGCGGCCCCGCCTCCTGCCCGCCCCGCGCCAGTCGGTCGGCGCCGGGAGTTCGGAGCAGCGCCGGGCAGGGCCGCGCCGAAGAAGCCGCCGCGGGTACTCGGCCTGAGGTGGGCCCGAGGGTGAAGTCCGAGCCGGGCGGCGCCCCGCGCGGCTCATGGCGGGGCCGCGGGGCGCGCTGCTGGCCTGGTGCCGCCGCCAATGCGAGGGCTACCGCGGCGTGGACATCCGCAACCTGAGCAGCTCCTTCCGGGATGGCCTGGCCTTCTGCGCCATCCTGCACCGGCACCGGCCCGACCTGCTGTGAGTGCCGGGCGGGCGGGAGAGCGGGCGGGGGAGCGGAGCGGAGCGGGGCGGCGCGGCTCGGGCTGGGGACCCCCGCCCCCCTCAGTGACGCGGGGCCCGGTAGGTGGCAGGCGCCGCCCCCCGGAGACCCGGACGCCGACCCTACCCACACGCCCTGCTGCCTGTAGGGTCACTGAGACCCCAGCCTGGGGCCAGATCCTGCCCCAGGAGGCCTCCGACCCCGCCCACTGGGACCCTGACCTGGCCAGTTCGCCCGCACCTCCTTGGCCAGGCCCGGGGTGGGAGTGGCCCCGCCCACAAAGCTCTGATTTCCGCCAGAGGGACTTAAACGCGCCGCCCCCCACCCCCGCCCCCCCGCCGCACACTCTTTGAAGGGGCACCGAGTCCTCTTTGACATCTGGGACTTCCCCGCACTAAACTGTGCTCGGGCACACGGACATACTGAGCACCCCTACCTGGCGAGGCAGTGAGGCCTCTTCCCTCTCTGAGGGTCCCCCTTGTTCTGAGTACAGTGAACCTCGCTCTTCTGATTCCCCCACGTGATCTTGTCTCCTGGGCGCTAGTGCCTGGCTCAGAGGAGACCCTAGGGTTAACTGTGCTGGGACTAATGGATGGGAAGCCCCCCCCCCCCAACGCCCATCAGGACATTGACCTGCCTCTCCAGGTGTGTGTCCCCAGGGTCCTGTGGTCCTTGGTGGGGCAGGAAAGCCAAGTGAAGACTCAGTGTATGATATGACGGCCACCATTGGGCTGCTCCAGGGTATGAAATGCCCCCTTCTTGTTCCCAGCTGCCCAGAGAGGTTCTCATGGGGAACTTGATTCAGACTCTGGAGCAGCTCCCCCTGCCTTGGGCCCTGGCACCTCCGCCATCCATCCCTCCATTCATTCATAAAAACAGTGAGCGAAAGTTTCTCGGTGTCCACCATTCCTTGTGCCCACAGCACGGGGCCCTGAGCCTGCAGGGCCAGGGGTCTCTGTTCCACCTACAGACCTGCCTCCCCAGGGATGGGCTTGGGAGGGCTTTGAGGATGGACGCAAAGGATGCCCTCAAGGATTCGATGGCACAAGGCACTTTGCTTACTCTGAGCCACGTGGTATGATGTCTGTGGGTGCTGGGTCGGGCCATGGAGGAGAGAGTTTTGGGGATGTCGATGTAGCAGTGAACAAGATGAAGTGCAGACAGACATGGTCGTGCCCCGTCTGCTGTGGGCATGTGACAATGGCACTAACAGAGGTGGGGGGAGGGCTCAGGAGTGGCAGCTTGAAGGATGGAGACGGGCACGCAGAAAGGAGTGGAGGGCTGGAGGGCTCTGCTGTTTGGCTGAGGGGCAGGTTGGGGAGGTGGGAGGCAGGGGACGGGGCCAGTGTGTGAAGGGACTTGGGTATCAAACTAAATCACTTGGTGAACCTGAGCCTGCCACCATCGATCGAAGCGCAGGCTGCTTGGTGTGCGCCTCCATGCCCCAGGGCGTCATCACCTGGGGACATCACTGGATGCTGCCAAGCATCAGTTCCCTCATCTGCAAAGTGGTTTGAAGGACTGTTGTGAGGGTTAAATGAGGCAATGAGCATTCAGGTAGCATCAGGTAGTATCCGCAGTGTTACGAGGCGGTAGGGGGTGATGACGAAAGTGTCCTCATCTATTCAACAAGTACTTAACAGAGTCGCTGCTCTGCGCTGGGCTCTGTGCCTGGTAATGGAGATAACCAGCCAGCAGAGAGACCAGCCGCACACAGCGGCCCCACGCTGTGGTAGCGACATGGAGTAGCAGGGATGGACCCTCCGTGTGGGAAGTGCTGCCGCAGAGGGCCGGGCTGGGAAGGCCTCCCAGATGTCTCCTAGTCTTCAAGGAGACACTGTGTGGGTTTCTTTTTTTTTTTTTTGAGCCTCATTTTTGTGCCCTTCATCTCTCTCAGAGCCAACTAGAACTTACCAGGCTTTGAAACTCTCGGAAAATCTCTGCTACGAAAGCCAGATTCATGAGGAGGAAGAATTGTAGTGTCTTGGGGGCCTTTACAGTTTTTACACTGTTTCCAGCCTTTCTTCACGAATAAGCATTTATTGAGCGCCTCCTAAATGCCAGGAACTAGGTAGGGTGTCCGGGCCACAGGGTGAGAGCAACGTGTAACCCCAGCCTTCCAGGGACACTGTTGGGGAGACTGAGGACAATGGCGGGACAAGTTGCCTCGCCCCATTCGGTCTGGGAACAAGTCTTTGTCCGGGGCCCGTGCGGGCGTCCCCTCGCCCCTTTCACAGAGTCATGGACAAGGGGGCTGCGGTTTAAGAGGTTCTGTAGTTTGCTGAGTGCCCTGCTCTTAGATGATGGCAAAGCGAGGGGAGTTAGGGACCCAGCTGAAGGGAAAAGGAAGTGGCCTGGCACTGACAAAAGGGGACCCGGCTCATACAGTCCACCTCCCCTCTCTGCAGTCCACCTCGGGGCGACTCCTCCCGGGGTTCTCAGGGGCCTGCTCACCCTCTCCCTTACCTGTGAGGCCTGCCCTTCACCAAGCCCAGAGTTGACCAGTCTTCCCCACCAGCCAGGGAGGTGACACAAGAGCTTCCCCTGGTTCGCAGATGGGAAGATAAGGCCGCAGAGACTGCTGCCCTGCTCAAGGTCACAGCCTGGGAAAGCAGGGTCTGGACTTGGAGGACTTGCTGCCTGCTCCGGCCTCTGGGTCCACCGCATGGGGCAGACAGGCTGCAGTTTTCAGCCATAGAAGGAGAGGCATTATGCCGGGGGGGGGGGGGGCGGCCAGGAGGCTTTGAGCAAGAAGGTTGGGCTGCCTCCACTGGTTTCAGCCATGCTAGCACCTAAAGGAGGGGCCGGGGATAAATAAAGCCAGCAGGCTGGCCAGCTGTCCCTTCCCCAGGTCCCCCAGGCCAGCCCTGCTGCCTCTCACCTGTCCCAGCTTAGAAGCCGGGAAAGCCTTCATTGCTCCCCCAAGAGAAGGCACCCTGAGGAGCGGCCCTGGCAGGGCAGCCCGTGTGCAGAGGCTGCTGGCAGCTCCGGAGTCTGTGTGGTTTCCAGGCTAGTCCAAACCTGTTCTGCCCCAGAAAAGAAAACATTCATCTTTGGGCTGCGTTGGGGTTGCGCACGTTGGCGAGGCTTCTCCAGGTTTGAGATGTGTGGTAGAAGGACCCGGAATGTGGATTCCCAGGGCTGGCTGTTTCCCCTCTCCAGGCCTCAGTGTTCTTGTCTGTAACATGGGGTGAATGCCTGGCAGAGAGAGTTAAAAATAATGTGAATTCAAGATGGGAGCTCAGCACATGCCAGCGTGAGGTCCTCGATCCGTGGATGTCCCTGTTTTTACAAGCATTTGCCTTTGTCTCAGTTTTATCCTTGCTACTGACTCAGGATGTGGCTTCCCGGGGAAGAGTGTCTAGATTCACAGCCGGTTGAGGGATCTTAAGCCTGAAAGCTTGGACTTGAGCCCTATGGCTTCCAAGTGCTTTGCAGCCTCCACTTGGAGGCCTCTGGGGGCCCTGAGCTCATCTTCCCCCACTGGGCAGGTCCAGCTCTACAGACTGTGCTTGTTGCCTCAGTTTCCTCCCTGGCAGACCCCTCCCCTTAGGACAGTCGCCTGGCAACTTGGCCACTTGGCCACTAGGCCACTTCCGGACTCGCGCCCTTGCCTGGGGCCACGTCCTCCATGCGCCTCCTCCCCTTTGCCTCCTGCAGAGATTTTGATTCACTTTCCAAGGACAACGTGTTCGAGAATAACCGTTTGGTGAGTCCTGGACAGACGGAAGCCCAAGGGGCTGTGTATGGGGTGGTGGTGGGGGTGGGCAGGGTTGCTCCTTTCCCCGTCTCCTGCTTCCCTCTGACCCACTTGTCCCTGGAGCGCCTCCCCTTCTCCAGGTCGTCCTGGGGGGCCAGAACTGAGGGTTGCCCACAGTCACCCCTGCCCTTGACCCCTCATCCCTCTGAGGGGAGCTAAGCTGCGCCTCAGCCGAGGGGTGCCCACTGACCCTGCCTCCTCCCCCTCTTCCTGCTGTGGCTGCTCTTTGCCCCGACCCCAGGCCTTCGAAGTGGCGGAGAAGGAGCTGGGCATCCCTGCTCTCCTGGACCCCAGTGACATGGTCTCCACGAGTGTGCCCGACTGCCTCAGCATCATGACCTACGTGTCCCAGTATTACAACCACTTCGCCAGCCCTGGCCAAGGTGAGTGGGGGCCAGCCCTTCAGGGAGATGGGCCCTGGGGGTGGGGCTGGGGACGGGTGATCCTCTCCTGAGCTGCAAACTGCCAGCTGGGGAGGCAGCATGCCGTTCACTCACTGGGTCATTCATTCACTCACTGAGATGCTCTTTATTGAGGAGAACAGTGCTGTGCGGGGGTGTAGCTGTGAACGGTTGCTGCTCTCCTGGAGCGCCCAGTCTTGTGGGGGGGTGGGGGGACAGACAGCGAACACGGCTGCCTGAAACGAAGCAAAATAACATGAGGGAGACAGAGCGGAGCAGGTACCGGCCGTTTTTTGTGAGTTCACCGCTCTGCACCCACCCTCACTTCCTGTTTGCAGACACTTCCCTGGGGTTTTCCTCCAGCGGGAAGGGCCCTGTGCAGCCCTGGTGCAGTGTCTTCCCCAGAGGCAACCTTCAAGACCTGAGAGCCCAAAGGCTGGGGAGTTCGGGGTGGGGGGCCCGTGAGTACTAGGGTACTTCTCTGCTGAGTCTAGTCCCTGGGGGCTGCAGAGTCTCCTGCCTGTAGAGCCCCCATGCAGGAATCTCCTGGGTGCAATCTCCCCTCTCCTGCAGAGAAGCAGGCCCAGAGAGGGGTGGCACGGAGCTCAAGGTCACACAGCAGGAAAGCAGAAAGGCTTGAAGTCAGTACCCTGACTCCTGCTCCGGGTCGCTGCTGCCCTCGGGTCCCGAGGAAGGGGGCCTCTTGCCCCTTCCCTGCCCCATTTCAGCCCAGTCTCCTGCCTGTCCGTGTGGACAGTCTCAGCCTATCTCTTTAAAAAAGTGTTCAATGAAGTCAGGTCTTTGTTTTCCTTTTTAAAAGTAAAGCATGCTTATTGTAGGCAATTTAGAACACAGAAAAAAGCATAAAAACTCAAATAATCTGTTACTCCTCCTTCCCCGAGATATTGCCAGGGATTAATGTTATATTTGAACAAATACCATTTTATGTATTTTAAAAGGAGTTCTCAACCCCTGAGTCTTTGGTGAGGGGCAGTAGGGTAGAAATTAGTAGAGTGGACTCAAACCTTTTTCTCTGCTGTTCACTATCGGGGTGACACTGGGCTGCCGTGGCACCTCTCTGCCTCAGTTTCCCCTTTGCAATGGGGACAAGAATAGTGCCCGTCTCACAGGGTTGACGTGAGGCGTAAACGAGGGAGTATAAACCTGTGTCTGGCTCTTATTTAGGACTCAAGGTGAGTATTGTTATGATGTCTTTATCCCATTGGTTGGAGCTGAGCTTACTTATCTAGAATCACAAGGGAGAGAGAGAGAGAGAACAAGAACAATGTAAAAAGTGATGTAATTTCAGGAGAGTCCAATAAGAAAACAAGATAAGGTAATGGGATGAAAATGGGAAGAGGAAGCGGCTAGTACAGGTGAGTGGTCAGGGAGGGCCTCCCGGAGGAGGTGGTGTTTGAGCTCAGCCCTGAGCAAGGAGAAGCGGGAGGCCATGTGAAGACCTGGGATGGAGTGTTCCTGGCAAGAGGGCAGCAGGGGGTCTTTATGCTTCAGTGGGTGGAGGAGAGGACAGATGGGGTCGTAGGGGCAGGGACTTGATTAGGTGGCTAGGCTTTCACCGTTTTGGACCATGATCCATGGTAGGAAATACAGTTCCCATCGCAGTCCAAGGTCATGCACACGTATGTAACTGAAACCAGCTTCAGGAAATGGTTCTTCCCCTTAGCACATGTGATGTGCACAGAAATTTTCTCTTCCACCTTTTGAGGGTGCTGGTTGCACTCTGCCCAGCGGATCCCAGAGTTCCTTGGTGGGTTGTGACCTGGAGGTTGCTGAGCGCTGTTCTAGACCATAGCCGGGAACTGGCGTTTCATTTTTAAATTGTCATACAGTAAAATGGGTTTTTTGGTATACACTTGTGTGAATTGGGGTGTGTTATTTTAATCACAAAGTAGGTGCTTAGTGAATATTCGCTGAAGGAATGAAGGAGTGGGGGGCTGGAGGAGTCTGGGAGGGTGGGTGGGTGGTTTCTCCTGGTTCGAGGGGATGCAGGCTGCGCACGTGCTCGCAGGTGGGGCGGCTCCTCCTCGGCCCCAGGGAGCCAGCCCACCTTCCTGAACCTCGGCCAGCACTGTGTGCTCTTTCTTTTCCTTCCCTTCAAGCCCCTCACCCTGGTGGGAGGGAGTCTCCCCGTCCTGCCCCTCATGAGCACCGTTAGCTCTGGGACCCCCTCACGTTGCAGAGGCTCCGCGAGGTGAAGTAGCTTGCATTCGGCTCTTAGCTTGGAAGTCGAGGCGTCCTGTCCCCTGGCCTGTGTGGGCCACCATGCTGCATTGGGCTCAAAGGCGGTGGCTTCAGAGCTCAAATCTTAGGCCAGGTTGGGGCCTCCTGGGACTCCACGCTCTCCGCCTGCCTCAGGTCTCTTCTCTGTCTCTTGGCAGCCGGCGTCTCACCACCTGGAAAGAGCCTGGCACCCTCCACCCCGCCCTCTACTCCGGCGGAACCGGGAGATAGGGCTCAGGTAGGTGGGTGCCTGGGGTGGGCGGGTGGGTGCCTGGGGTGGGCGGGTGGGTGCGGGTGAAGAGGTCGAGTGGAGTGGGGACAACTGGTACTGCAGTGTTCAGATGGCGCTTGGTCCTTTGCCCGCTGGCTTGGAAGTAGAGTCTCACAAGCCAGGACAGGGATCAGGGGCAGGACGTGCCAGGCCTGGGAAGGGGACATGAATCACAACACTGACTGTGCCATCCCAGGCCCGACAGGATTTACCCAGTGGTAATATGACAAATACCGGCCTTCGTTCCTGTTGAGACAGAGCTTGTGATCCCCAGGTGATTCAGCTCTGGGAGGTCAGAATTAGCTGTCCTGATACGCAGACGAGAAAACACCCTCAGACAGGCTGGGTCACGTGTCCAGTGTCTCTCAGCTGGGAAGTGGGGCCACATTGCCAGTCCCCTGCTCCAGGGTGCCTTGAGGGGTGACACCAGCCCTTCACGTTCCGACAGCACTTTGCAGTGCGGAGAGGGCTGGCCCACCTGCTCCCATTTGCTACTTGCTGGAATTCCCAAGGGACAGGGCGCCTGGCCCAGGGCGGGTGTCAGTGAGCGTGTGCGGGGCCGAGATAGGCAGGGATGTAGGATTCTGGTTTGCAGGTGGGAAGCCAAGGCCCAGCACTGCCAGCAGCTTGCTCAAGGTCATGGTGCTTAAAAGTAGAGAAGCTGAGATTTAAATCTGCTGGGGCTCCAGGAGGTGCAGAGAAAGGGGATCAGGTGGGCCTAAGAGGACAGTCGCCCATGGGGGGCAACCTGCCGGGACGGGACACAGGTAAAAGCCGAGAGGGGGCAGGGTTGTTCAGCCAGGCACCGCCTTTTTGGTGGGGTCAGCCCAGAAACTGGAGGTCAGGACTTCTGTTCCCTCCTGGCTCAGTGATCTTGCATGGGTCTTTCACCCTCTGTGGCTTTAGTCTCCTCACCTGTGAGAAGGGGCCAGTGGCCATGAGACGGGGAAGCAGGACGGCTGGTGAGCACGCGCCCACCCCCAACCTGCCCGCCCTGTTCCCTGCAGGGCGAGACGCTCTCCTCGGGTCGCCTGTCGGAGCAGGGCACCCACCAGACGCCCAGCAGCACCTGCGCGGCCTGCGGGCAGCGTGTGCACCTGGTGCAGCGTTACCTGGCGGAGGGCAAGCTGTACCACCGGCACTGCTTCCGGTGAGTGGCTGTGGGAGCCTGGGGGCAGGGCCTTGACCCCAGCCCCCCGACAGCAGGGAGGGAGCTTCGTGGGTTCCGTGCGCCGAGTGCTGAGGGCTCTGCGTGCCGGCACGTCCGGCCTGTCCCCGTTTTACTGAGGAGCAAACTGAGGCCTAGGGGGAGGCTGCCCAGCCACACAGCTAGAGATGGACACGGGGCTGCAGCTCAGGGTTCTGCCTCCTGTGCTGGCATGCTGTGAGGCCACCCTCCCCGTGACGTTTAAGGGGCGCAGTTTGCTTTGAAAACTACAGGGGGCAGGGAGGATTTTTTAAAAATCCCAATAGCAATTTGCTTTCTGTGTGTGTGTGGCTCCCGGGGGAAGCCAGGTTCAAAGAAGACAGAATAAGAGGCAAGGAACATACAAATAATGTAGAAAATATATGTTATAAAAAAGAGAAAAAAATTATTGAAGAGCCAGGGAACCGGTGACTGACAGTTGCCACAGGCACCGATCGTGGTCACCGTACCCCCAGCGGTGGGGGGACCTTCGCTTCCTCTTGCAGCACAAACCGAGCGCGTGTTTCACAGTTTCCTGACAGCTGCCCTTCCCCTTCCCTCTGGGAAGTCCAGGGCGTCGAGACAGGATCCAGATGGTTAGTTGGGAGGAGGGGAGGGAGGTAGCCAGCGCGGTGGGCCGCGCTGCCTGGCCAAGCTGAATGCCCGTCCTGCCCTCCCTGGCAGGTGCCGGCAGTGCTCCAGCACCCTGGTGCCCGGGGCTTACCGGAGTGGGCCTGAGGAGGGCACCTTCATCTGTGCGGAGACCTGTGCCCGGCTGGGCCCGGGAGGGCGCTTAGGGGCCAAGGCCCAGTCCCCCCTGCAGCCAAAGCAACAGCGAGAAGATGCAAAAGAAGCAGCAGAAGAAGCCAAGGATGTGGAGGGAGGCAGCCCCAGTGTGGCTGCAGTGGCTGAGGCCCGGCCCCAGATGCCCACCAAGCCCTGCGTGCCGGACCGACCGCAGGACCTGGCCAGCCCTCAGGCCGGCCGGCCCATGCCCGCCCCCAGGAAGGCCTTGGAGAGCACAGCCCAGACGCCCCCCACGCCCCGGCCCCGGTCCAGCCTGCAGCCCGAGAACTTGGAGCCAGGTGGCAGTGGCCTAGTGAATGGTGAGCAGGGTCCAGCTGGCTGGGGAGTGTCTGGTGCTTGAACAGACGTGCACACTGGGAAGGCGGATGGGGCCACACTCTGGGCCTGTGTGTCCGTGTGGGCACAGCTCTTTCTGAGGTGATCAGTTCACGCCTCAAGTTGTGACTGAGGCCTCGGTGCCAGTTCAGCTCCCCATGCTGCAGCTCGGACAGACAGACAGACACACCCACAGACTATGCCCCGGCTGCCCTGTGCGGTGTGTTGGGGTGTTTGTGTGCCTTCCTGCTCTGTGTGCTTTGGCTTCAGGGTGTGTAGCAAGGGCACCCTCGTGTGCCTGTGTTCCGGCTGTGTCTGGGACTCCATGTGTCTGGCCAGTTGGCACGCCCCAGGTGACCTCCCCTCCCATGCCCAGCTCTTGTACTTGTTTGTGTCTGGATGTCTGGCAGGACTACTCAGGGGCTGGGGGCCAGGCTCAGGTGTGTCCCTGGTCGGGTGGGTCTGGGGGCTCTCTTCAGGCTCGTCAAAACTAGCAGGGACCCCCGTCCCAGCCCTCATCATAGGACCTTCCCGGATGACCTCCCCGGCTCCCATGTGCTCCCTTAGCCCAAGATGTGCTAGGCGGCCCTCAGCATTGGGTTAGGGTAGGTGGTTTGGGTGGGAAAGACCCTGGGGTCCGGGGTTTGGGAGAGACCCCCCCTGGGTAGTCCAGGTCTGGTCCCCACTCCTCGAGGCCTGCTCTGAACCCAGCCCTGAGCTGGGCGCTGGGGACAGAGATGCGGTTCAGATGTGTTTGTGCCTTTGAGGCACTGCCGGTCTCCAGAGGGAGACGGGCACGGACCCGGGGTTTTGGTAGAACTAGAAGTCTGTGAAGTCGGGGGAGCAGAGGCTGCCGCGGGATTTCTGGGGGACGCTTGGGAGTCGGCAGGCTTGCAGGAGTTGGTGGCGCTGGGGCTGCGCCTAGACAGTGTTTCCTGCCTGTGCTGGGGAGGTGTCTGAGGGGCGCTTGGGCTCCCCGCTCTCAGCTGAAATGCCCTGCCTTGTCCCCTTGACCTTCTCTGCCTGTCCCCTCTGGTGCTTATCTAATCTCCCTGGGTCCTGGGGTGGGGAAGGCAAGCATGCGGGCGAGGCTGCCAGGGCCACCTGTGTCCATGACCTGCCGGGTAGGAAGGAAGGGCACTCCCTGGCAAGGCAGGCGTTCTGGCCGGGCCCCTGGGTGCACGGCTCCGCTGCCCAGCACACAGCTGCCTCTCCCATGAAAGCCTGTCTCACTCTCCTTTCCCATCTAGGAAGGCTGCATGAGCCCCCCGTCCCCAAGCCGAGAGGGACACCCAAGCTGTCAGAGAGGTATGCGGGCTCCGAGAGGCTCTCAGGGTCCTGGTGGTAGGAATGAGGGGCCCCTGGGGCCTGCTGGGGGCGGCATCGAGCCTTCCCGGGGGCCCGGGCCTGCTCCACTCTCTGGGTGGGGAAGGAGTGCTGTGCCGTGTCCCCTCCCCGAGGCTCCTGTGGGTGGCAGTGCCTCGTGGAGACAGCCACCTCTGGTGTCCCTCACCTGCCGGAGCCTCCGCTGCCTTTGTAACCTGGGAGGCCTAAGGCCTGGCTCATTGGCTTAGGAGAAGTAGCAGCCAGGTATAGAAAAGCCCCGAACAGCTCAGCTGTGTACCCAGCTCAGGTCTTCCACCTGGGACCCCGCGTCCCAGGCGAGGACGCCTTGTTTCCCGCTGTTCTTTGGGGCTCTGCATCCCTGGGTGGCCCGGGAGGGGAGAGGTGGGCACTTGCCATGTGCCAGGTGCTGTGCCCACTGGGCCCTTACAGTGACCTCGAGAGGTGATGGTTGTTACTGTCCCCATTTCACCGGTGAAAGACTGAGGCAGAGAGGCCAGGTGACTTTCTCAGTGTCACAGAGGGGTGCCCCTTAGGTCCTGTCCTGTGCCTGTAAGTCTGTTTCAGCCTTGGTCCCATACTGGCCCCACCGCACCAGGGCTGGGAGAGGAGACAGGTGCAATTTCTCACCCTTCCTCTCGGAAGTGGACTTCGAACTGTCCAGAGAGAGAAGAACGCTGTCCCCCTTGCCTCCTAATGGATTCTCCTCCTTCCTGCCGCCCTCCAGGACTCCAGCCCCCAGGAAGGACCCTCCTTGGATCACGCTGGTACAGGCAGAACCCAAGAAGAAGCCAGCCCCGCTGCCCCCCAGCAACAGCCCCCGGCTGCCAGGCCGGGCCGGCGGGCGGGTGGAGAATGGAGGTGCAGAAGAGGTGGCTCCGAGGAGCCCTGCAGAGGGTGGCCTAGAGCCCAAGCCCTACAACCCCTTTGAGGAGGAGGAGGAGGAGGTGGGGGAGCCCCCCGCTGCCTCCACCCTGGCCACTGGCCCCACCCAGGCCCTCCAGGAGTGTACACCCAAGTCCCTGCACCCCTGGTACGGCATCACTCCCACCAGCAGCCCCAAGACAAAGAAGCGCCCTGCCCCCCGAGCGCCCGGTGCGTCCCCACTAGGTGAGTGCCGTCCGGAGGTGTTCCTGCTAGTGGGAACCCCAGGGTCAGGGCGGGAGGCCGTGGGGTTCCGTGGCATCCCTCCAGGCCAGGCGCTGGGCGTTTCACATGTGTCCTCCCGTTGAACCTTGGAGCTGACCTGTGTGGTCGGTATCACACCCCCCTTTGCGGGTGGGGAAACTGAGGCACAGAGAGGGAAATGATTTGCCCAGGGTCTCACAGCCCTTAAGCACTGGAGGCAAGATTTGAGGCCAGGCTCTAGACTACTCGCTGAGCCCTCCATGACCCGCCTCACCGGCATGTTGTGAGAATTAACTGTGTTCTGCGGTGAAGCGCTTAGCGTTGGGCAGGCGGGAGAGCACGTGGCGGGGTCAGCCTGCACCCCGACTATCTAGTCACTGCCTCCGGTGGGTGATAGCCTCCGGCTCTGGCCTGGCTCTGTGTGACTCGGCCCTTGTGACTTTGAGCTGTTGTTTCCCTGGGTCTCTCTCCGGTCTCCTCATCTGGAAAGTGGTAGTGGCGGGCCACCTCCAGGGCACCCTGTCCCCTCCATCCAGCACTCGCTCTCATCAGGTACATGGTGTTCCTGGTGCTCACTAACTTGTCGTCTTCTCAGGCCCTGGCCCCAGGCACCTTCCATCACAGGTGCCTCCCAGACCTCAGGGGGAGCCCCTCAGACTGTGGGGCCAAGAGCAGGTTGGAGATGATCAGAGGCAGGTGCTCCGATGGCCTGGGGTCCCCACTCGGGCCCCTGCTGGAGCCCTGGGACCTCTAGCTGGGCTGAGTGGGGCGGGTGTGTGAGACACAGCAAGGAGATGCGCTCTGAGTCAGACACAGCTGGGTTCAGCTTCGGCCCTTGCTGGGACCAGTGCCTTCTGTCTGAGTCTGCTGCCTTGTCTGGAAGACACAGATGACCATGCTTTCAGGCATGGTATCTGCCGCCCGAGTGAGGGCTGAAGCGGTGCAGGGCGGTGCCTGGCCCAGGGCTAGCCGCTGCCAGGGCTGCCTGCCCTCCCCGCCTCCTGCCGTCCTCCCTCCCTCCTCTGCTGCTGGTCAGAGACACAGCCGAGGCCAGCCTCAATTTTGTGCCCTCCTCCCCGCCCCCGTAGGTTTGCCTTCTAAATTTGGCTTGGCTTTGGGTCCAATCAGATAAGGGAGGGGAAGTGAGAGGCGGATACTCTGGGCCCTGGCTTCCTCTGGACGTGGAAGGACATGGGCGGCCACGGCCACCTGCAGATCTGTTCCAAGAGGACCGTGCTAGGTGTGGCGTCCACTTGCTCATCTGTTCGCACAGCTCTCCACGCCTCCCGCCTCTCACACTCGGAGCCGCCCTCGGCCACCCCATCGCCAGCCCTCAGTGTGGAGAGCCTGTCGTCCGAGGGCCCCAGCCAGACAGCCAGCGGGCAGCTCCTGGAGCCTCCAGTGGTGCCCAAGAGCTCCTCGGAGCCTGCGGTCCACGCCCCCGGAACCCCCGTGACCTCCGCCAGCCTCTCTGCCGACTCCTCGCTGTCCTCCTCTGGGGAGCTGGCTCAGCCCACCACGGGCTCTGCGCCTCAAGCCAGCCCTGGCCTTGCTCCCAGTGCTAAGGGCAGCTCGGGCCCCCAGCCGGCCAAGCCCTGCAGTGGCGCTGCCCCTACCCCTCTCTTGTTGGTGGGAGATAAGACCCTAGTGCCTTCCCCTGGCACCTCATCTCCGCAGCTCCAGGTGAAGGTGAGTGCCTCGCCCTTGCTAAAAGCTGCAAAGCTGCAGTCCTGCCTAGCACATGGGGTCTGGCCTCAGGGCAGGAATGTCCAGGGCCGCTCACTTTCTGACTGACATGGCCCCATCCCTCTGTCCATCCACCACTCCATTCACTGAGGCACAGGCCCGTCCATTGGCCAGACTGCCTGTCCATCACTGCTCCTGTCCTCTCGCCGGGCCCTCCACGCATCAGTGCATTCAGGCACCTGTTTACCTGCCTGTCCCAAGTACTTGCCACGTTGGGGTCCATTCACACAGCTCCCACCTGCCCATTCGCACGCCCTCCTGTCCACTCTTCCTTTCACCAAGGCCCCGTTTATGCCCGAGGCCCCCTCCCTGCACGTCCTCTCCTCTCGGAAATGGAGGGGGTGTGAGGTGACCATCCCAGGGAGCTCATGACCTGTGTCGGCTGTTTGCACACTTGTTTCAGTCCCACGCCCAGAACAGGGGTCACCAGGGGTCAAGACGTTCCTCTGGGCACCTTGTTCCTGAGGGGGCCTCTCTTGCAGCCACACCCCTTTGGGCCACCAGGTTCTGATCATCCACAGGAAGGCACCAGGCTCTGGGTCTATGAGGGGCCAGCAGAAGAGAGGGGTCCCTCTTGGGCAGGGAGGGGGCTGCTCTTCTCCGTTTGCTGCCCAGGTGGAAGGTGGGGCCTGTGCTTTTGTCCTTTCTGACTGGGCCACGCTGGGCAAAGGGCTGCACCTCTCTGAGCCAGAGAGGCCCCTCCTCTGAAGGGGCGGTTCTGAGAAAACAAGCTTCCGCAGCTCTGTCTAGCCCTGAACTCCGTGTCCTGGCCGCTGTCCCCAGTGCTGGATGGCTGCCCTGTCCTCAAACAGATTCTCGTCCTTGCTTGGGCCCTTGGGAAGTGCATGACCCTGAGCCAGTCACTTAAGCTCTCTGAACTTGAGTCCAGCTGTAAATGGGCATCGCAGTCCCACTATGCAGAGCAGCTGGGAGAGTTATCAGATAAGGATGCTTTGAGTCCCTGGGCAGCCGCTGTGCAGGGGCAGGGGTCGTGGGGGTGCAGGAAATGGGATTGTGTGTTGGGTGACTGGGGGGTGGGCTGAGTGCCGGGAGACCCCCTCTCTGCCCGGGCCCGCTGCCCCCCGTGCCCAGGGTCCTAGGCAGTTGAGGTCTTGCTGCCCTCTCCCCAGACTCACCCTCTGTCCTGTCACTCCGCCTCTAGTCTTCCTGCAAGGAGAACCCTTTTAACCGGAAGGCATCACCCACAGCGTCCCCAGCCACAAAGAAAGCCTCCAAGGGATCCAAGCCAGCCAGGCCACCTGCTCCAGGACACGGCTTCCCGCTCATCAAGCGCAAGGTACCAGCTGGGAGTTTCCAGCGGCCTGGGCCTGGGCCCCCCATGGCAGCCTCGGGCTCCCCACAGGGCTCCTGGAGGAGATGGGCCGCCAGGGCAGTGCCCTCAGGTGTAAGAGAGGGGCACTTGGGTGGTGCCGCTGGAAGGTTCGAGTTGAAAGCAGGGGGATTTTGACCAGATCAGCTGTGCTCAGGCGGGAGCAATGGCTGGTGCGTTCACTTGTTATGATAATAGTTCAGGGGTCCAAACACTCACAGGTTACACTTCTAGTGAAATAGATTGGAGTGTTCTCAAGTTTATCTTCATAACAAGGTCACTGTCACACTGTGATACTCTTTGTGCAGTGGCAGAGGAGGGGCCAGGGCTGCCGTGGGAGGCAGGAGGTTGTGCTTCCCTCTGGGTGTGCCCGATGGGGCTGGGGCACAGAGGGGTTGTGGCTGTGCCACACCGACCCTTCCCCTCCCGGGGGTCTTACCTCTGTCCCCAGGGTGTGGGATAGAGCCCAGGCCCTGGGCCCGTGCGGGCCACTGCTGGTGGGAGAAATGGAGACACTTCCTGGCAGCAGATGGGCAGGAGGGGTGGTGACCTGGGCACTGTCGGGCAGGTCCAGGCTGACCAGTACATCCCTGAGGAGGACATCCATGGAGAGGTGGACACCATTGAGCGCCAGCTGGACGCCCTGGAGCTCCGCGGGGTTCTGCTGGAGGAGAAGCTGCGCAGCGGCGGGGACGGTTCGAGGGCTGCTGGGAGGGCCTGGCAGGGGGGCTGGGGGTGGCTGGAGCCTCCCTCACTGCGGGGAGCCTCCTCCGAGGGCAGGACCTGCAGCCAACCCCAGCCTCGGGCGCATCTGCCTTCCAGAGGGCCGTGAGGATGACATGCTGGTGGACTGGTTCAAGCTCATCCACGAGAAGCACCTGCTGGTGCGGAGGGAGTCCGAGCTCATCTACGTGTGAGTCCTCCCGTCCCCTGGCCCCTGCTCCCCTTCCTGGAAGCCGGACAACTTAGAACGGAGAGATTGCCCTGTCTTCCTTCGCTCGTCACCGACAGCACAGGCCAGGCAGCCTTGCATGGGGCCGAGTCAATAGGCGGCTTGTTCCCTCCCCGCAGCTTCAAGCAGCAGAACCTGGAGCAGCGTCAGGCCGACGTGGAGTATGAGCTGCGGTGCCTTCTTAACAAGCCGGGTGAGTGCTGCCGCACACGCTCCCTGGGCACCTGCAGGGCCTGATGGGACAGGGGAGTGGGCTCGGGTCCGCCCCTCCAGGCTGGGCTGTGGGTGGCAGAGCCAATGGGGACACGGGGACCCTGGGAACAGATGGCCCAGGGTGCCATCTGGTTGAACTGTGGAGGAAGTATGGACACATGTGGTGTCGGAGGTGACCAGCTCACAGAAAGCACCAAGCTCAGGAGCACAGCGCCTGTGGCTGTGTCCTGTCCCGGAACATGAGGGGCAGGACTTGGGGGTGGCAGGGCTCAGAGCCCAGGGCCGTCCTTGTGAGGCAATGACAACAGATGCCTGTCCAGTGGCAGCTTTGGGCTCTTGGCCATGGGCCCAGAGCATGACAGGACCTGACTGGCAGGAGGAGGGAAGGCAGAGGACCCCTGCACAGCTTGACTCGGAATGACTCTGGGAAGGAGGGACAGGTCCCACTGGCTGGCTCGGCACGGCAGACAGTAGCTGGAGGGATGGAGTGTGGAGCCAGGCAGTCTCGAGATTTGCTGCTAATGTGCTGGGGACAGGGAGGAAGGCAGCTTTCTCAGCTTTGCAGAGCCTCAGTGGCTTTGAGTGTAAGACAGGATGAAGGTGCCTGCCTTGCAGGGCGTTTTTGGGGTCAGGAGACAGTGGATATGGAAGCGCTCCATGGCCGGAGGGTTGATGGTTGTTAGGTGGCTGAGTTGGGGTCTGTGGTCACGACAAGAAGTGAGCCGCAGCTGCAGCTCATTAATGTTGCAATATGCCACTTGGGTGACCTTGCTTCTCTTTCATGAGGACCCCTGGGGTCCTCTGTTCTTTCCCCACCCCTGCCCCACTCTGGCCAGCCCACCTTTGGAGGCTCTCACGAGGCCCGGCCTGAACCCTGCCTCCTGTAGGAAACCACCATGAACGATGGATGAATGAGTGAATGAATGAATGAATGAATGACAGCAGGAAACCTTCTGGCGCATGCTGGGCTCTGTTCTCAGAACAGGTGCTGTGTTGGGCCCCCCGGACCCCCTTAAAGGGTGGTGTGTTTGGTAGGCAGCCTAGTGTCCTTGGTCTCTACTATGATAACCTTCATTTTTCCAAAAACTTGTAATCCCCACCCATCTGGGACCCTCCTTGCTGTCCTCCGAACTTAGCGCTCAGGTGTTGCTTCCTGGCCTCCGGGGAAGGCAGGAGAGCTTTCCTGCCGCTCACCCCCAGCTTTTCCCCTGGGCAGAAAAAGACTGGACCGAGGACGACCGGGGCCGGGAGAAGGTGCTGATGCAGGAGATTGTGACCCTCATTGAGCAGCGCAATGCCATCGTCAATTGCCTGGATGAGGACCGGCAGAGGTGACAGGGTGGGGCCAGGGGCTCCCCTGGGGGGCCCCTTGCGGGGCAGGCCCCGAGCAGGCCAGGCCAGCCCTGCCCTCCCTGCCTGCGATCCCAGGGCACTCTTGTTCAGCCGCTGTGGAGTGGGGGGCTGGGCGGGACTGAGAGACTTTCTGGCCCTTCCTCCTGTGGGACCTTTAGCTATCCTTTCTCATTTCAGGGAGGAAGAGGAAGATAAGATGTTGGAAGCCATGATCAAGAAGAAAGGTGAGGCTGCCCTGGGGCGCCGGCCCATTTGAACTCCTGGAGGGTGGGACAGGTTGCGGGAAGGGTTGGAGTGGGTGCTATGGCCTGGCGTGTACCAGCTCTCAGCTCCTGTTTTGTTGGGGAGGCCACGTGCAGCGGGGCAGGCCAGCCTGTAGCCAGGAAGCCTGAGGCCTGAGGCCTGGGCTTGGGGGATGGGGTGGGTGCCCTGGTGCCCCGGGAGGCCTGAGGTGCCAGTGAGCATTTTCTCAGTGAGGTTTGTCGTACCCTCTGCACCCCTCGGCACCTGCAGCTGGTCCTGGAAGAGCCTGTGGGTGCAACGAGCAGGACCTGCCGGGACTAAGGCCGTGCAGGGCTGGGAGTCAGAGACCCAGGCAAAGCTTTGGTTCCACCCATGACTCAGGCTGTGGCCTGTGGTTAGTTAGGGCTGGCCTCCAGTCAGGCTGCCGGGGCTGCAGTCGCAGTGGCTGCTGGTGCGTCCTCACGGGTGCCTTGAGTCAGCTGCGTCACCCCTCTAGGCCTGACTCACCCGGTCTGCAGAGCGGGGGTGGTGGAGGCCCTGCCTCCCAGGTGTGTGCAGAGGACTATTGGTGTGACGCGTGTGAAGCACTTCACCAGGGCCTGGCACCTACAAAGGGCTCAGTGGGTGTTGGTCCATTCCGCACCCGTGTTCTCCTCGTCTGCACAGTTAGGCGCTAGGAGAGAGGGTTTCCAAGGTTTCTTCTGTCCCCAACGTTCGGTGTTGGTACTGCAGCCCACAGGGCTGTGCGCACCAGCCTGGGGAATGAGACTGTTCCAGATAAATGTACGCCACGCCTCAGAGTTCCCAGGCTGTTCTCATGTTCCTTTATCTCAGATCCTTGTCAAAACCCTGGGAGAGGGTGTGGTTCCTGTCCTACAGGCCAAGAGCCAGGGACCCGGAAAAGTGCAGTGACGTGCCCAGGGTTCCCCAGGGGGAGGTGCGGGAGCTGCACCCGCCCCTGCGGCCTGGCACTCCCATGCCTCCATCACTGCCCCTGGCCTGCCCTGAGGGACCCCTCCCCCATGTTGTTGAGACCCCTTTTCCTTCTGCAGAGTTCCAGAAGGAGGCCGAATCTGAGAGCAGGAAGAAGGGGAAGTTCAAGACCATGAAGGTGCTGAAGCTGCTAGGAAACAAGCGTGACACCAAGAGCAAGTCCCCAGGGGACAAGAGCTAACAGCCAGGGGACTTCCACCACTCCTTCCCGGCTCAGCCCTGTCACTCTGATTTTGATGACTCCAGATGCTGTGATGGCCCCAACAAGCCAGCGGGGGCCTGGGTCCACGGAGCAGCACGACCGAGCGTACCTGCCCCTTGTCCCGCCCGGCGCCTGCTGTGACGGGCAGCTCCTTGGTCCCCCTTCCCTTGGTCACGTCCAGATGGGATTCTTAGCTGCCAAAGTCCTGAACCGAGGGTCCTTCCACCATGGGGTCTGCCAGGGGTCTCCTGCCTCTAAGGTTCTGCAGCTCTTGGTGGGCCACGGGCGGGGCTCAGATGCACTGGCTTCTTCGTGCCTTGGCCCTGGCCCCATCCCCGAGTCTATCTTCCTGTCCTGGGCTGGCCGCCCTGGGTCTGTCTCTCCTTGCTCAGGAGCTGTTTTCATGGCACCTCTGAGTTTGTTCAGTGACTGCGCCCTCAGACACAAACACGCACGATGGACAAAACCACCCCGTCTCTCCCAAGTTCCAGGAGGCGCTTCCCTTACTGTGTAGGGAACCTCCCCAGGGCGGCCCTGGGGAGGGCGGGTGTCCTAGTGCTGAGTCTCCCAGCAGGGCTCCCCGGTCCCTGATCTACTGAGTGGGTATGCTTTATGTAGGTGCTAACCCTGGTTCTCCAACACACTGTAGTCTGCCGCCTTGCCGAGTGCCCCCCGGGGGATGGCAGCCGCTCCTGTGTGTGGTCATCACCAGTCTGTCTCCTCACACTCCTGTTCCTTCTCTCTCTCGAGACTCATTCCCACCAAAGGACTGGTGGCCACACCCACTGGGAGGAGCTAATGGGGACAATGCTTTTTCCCCTGGGACTGTGCCCAGCAGATCTGGGTTGAAACACTGTTGCTATAAGCTATTTCGGGGGCACCCCAAGGGCCCCCTGCCCTCAGCACACCTCTGGGGGAAGATCACACTGAATGAACTTGTGGGGGTTTGCCTTGCCCACAATAAACAGACCACCTCATTGCTGGGGCCCTGCAGACTTGGGGTGCTTTTCCCTGGCCAGGCCTGCCTTCACTCCTGCCCCCACTGCTGGGGGCCAGGCATTTCTGCTGGCCCAGGCAGGCACGTAGGGCCGCCCACCAGCGGAGCCCTTGGCCCCCTGCCTGCCACTGGGCTCCCTTGCCCTACAGGGAGAGGGGGCTCCTGCCTAGGTAGCACCTGGTGGTCTCCTTCCAAACGTGCCTGTTGACCCGGAGCTGGCGACACTGACTCCAGGACCTTTCAGGGGCTGGGATGCATGGACCGGGCTGGGTGGAAGCTGAGGGATGCTCCATCAGGCTGTTTCGGTGACAAGAGGCTGGGGTGGCAGGGTCTGGGGTGGACTGGGGTGTGCCTGTGCCCCTGCTAGAGGGGGGTGTCCTGCCACAAGTCGCTGCAGCCTGTGGGAGCATGGCCCTGTGTCGTCAGGTCCTCCTGTTTTAAAAATGCTAGAAACCCACATCGTGTGTGTGTGTGGTTTGTAAACGTGGGTGATTGACCTGAACTTAAGGGTCAGACGAATTCGTCTTGGGGTTCTCCAGGTTGCTGTCCCTGGACCATGTGGTGGGGCAGCTGTCCCGGTCACTTTGCAGGCTCTGGCCTCAGGTTCTGGAGGGTGTGTGGACCTAGGCTCCACATGGAATGTTCTTGAACTGCCCCCTCTCCCCTGAGGCTGCAGGCAGAGTTTACCCTACAAACCAAAACAGGTCATGTGATTTGTAGTATTCCATGAATGCCTCCAGGTGGGAGGATTGGTTGAAATTTCCAAAATATTTTGGCTTAAGGAGATGGGAAAATGACCGTACTGGAGAACATAGGGCTCGTGGTGGCTGAAAGACCCGGGGACTGCCGAGTGCGCTGTGCCAGGCTCCAGGCCGCCTTGTGGGCAGACGCCCCTTCGGGGGCTGGGCCTCCCAGCTGGGCAGCCAGAGCTGAGGCAGGGGCACCCACGCTCACACCCCATGGGCTGGATCCTCCTCTACCCTTCGGGTTTAGTGGGAAGACATAAAGCTAACTTCTGCTGAGCAGGCTGTTTGCTAGTGAAATGACCCTGCTTATGTGCCTCGGTTTCCACAGGGAGCTGAGGGGCCACTGCAGGGGGTGCTGGGAGAATGACCTTCGAGTGAGACTCGGCACCTACCACAGCATCCGGCTGTGGGTGCTCAGGAAGTGCTGGTTCCCATCCCCACTTGAGATACGCAAACAGCTTGAAACATGCTTGAAGAATTCTCCCTCCTTGAACAAATAAGCCTTATCCCTCTGAAAACAGAGCAGCGTGTGCAGTGACCTGCGTTAAATGTTTTATCGGCCAATTAACCATAGTGGTTAAACACTTGCCTATGGCTGTCAGTCGAGTAAGCAGGTCCTAGACAGGAAGGAAGGAAGGGATATTTGTTCCTGAGCTCAGAAAGCTAAACGGGACGCAGAGTCTGGTGGAGATGGTGGGAAGGGGGCCCTTCGGATGCACTTAGACATTTGCCCAAGATCGGGGACTCCAGCTTGCTTTTCCCCAAGAAAAGACTCAAAGTCATTTGTATGTGACTGGGTCTCAGGCGCAGGCAACCCAGAGCCCCTGGGCACAGTCCCTGGTGTGGCCTGTGTTCTGGGGCACCGCCTGTGCTCGGAGAACACTAGGCCAGGCCAGTGCGTGTGCCCATCTGATGTGGCCGAGGGCCAGGCTGGGTGGGCGGGCCTGGGAATGGCCCTGCTTGGCAAGGGCGTGGGCTCCACCGGTTGAGGCTGGGCTGCTCCATCGCGGTCTCCGCAGACAGATCAGGCAGGGACGAGAGCCTCCCTGAGTTCCTCACTCCTCTGGTGGTCAATGTCTTCCATCTCCCGCAGTTTCTGCAAAGGGCACCAGGGAGAGCGGGTGTTGGGGGAGGAACTCCAGGAGACGACGGAGATGGGGGCTGAGCTGGACTCCCCAGACCTCAGCCGCAGCTGGCCCTTCGTTTCTACTCAAATTGCTTACTCCACATCGTGATGGCCTCATCCCCTCCCTCTGGCCTGTTGCTTCTCCTACCTGGGAGATTTCAGCAAGGATGATCCCTTGGTACTGCCTGCCCTGTCCCAGGGCCTCCATGTCAGCCAGGAACTCTTTCCTCTCCTGAATTTCCTTGACCACTGGACAGGGAGAAGGGTCGTCATCATCGTACAGGGCAATGGGGGCCGCCAGGTTCCTGGGAGGGGCGGAGGGAGCAGGGGTGGCCTCTCGGGGAGAGGAAGCAGCTCTGTCTAGCTGGTTGGCCCCTCCCCACACCCACTCCCCTCTCCAGCATAACTGGCCCATCAGGGGCTCACATTCTTCAAATCGGTCCAGCTCTGGGGATGGGGCCTTGTGTTGCTTTACAGGAGGGGGCTTCCTTTTGCGTTCCCCTTTGTCCTTTCCTGTGGCAAAGATGTTTTGGAGTCTTCGCTTCTCCTTCTCCAAATCTCCTAGAAGTCCCAGAAAAGGCCTTGTTCAGGCAGAAAGGGCACCCCCTTCATGGGCCGTGTTCCCAATCATGCATGCTTGCTCCAAGGTGCCGGGTAACATGGGGCGGGCTTCTGCTATCCCAGCACCTCCTACCCAGGGTGCTCCGGGGCCTGTCATGTCAAGACAGGCAGGAGAAGGGGGTGAAAGCACCAAGAAGAGACCTTTGTCCAAAACCACTCACTGCTGTGGTGCAGAGCAAGGCTAAGGAGCTCAGTGACGGCCATGCAGCAGCCTGCGTGCAGAGGCTGTGTGGGGTGTGGGGAGGTCTGGGCCGAGAGTTAGGTCAAGTACCGAGGAGGAAGTGGGTGATTGCTCCCTGAAGTAGGCTGGGGTGCAGAAAGCTCTGGATTTGGGGCACCGTGTTAGCTTAAGAGAGCATCAGGCGTGAGGTCTGACAGTTGGCCGTTCATCAGAGATTGACAGAATCTAGTTAATTGTTAAAGAGCCTTCTGGGGAATTTTTTTTGTTTAAGATTTCATCCATTTGTATTTTTTTAGAGATTTTATCTATTTTTAGAAAGAGGGGAAGGGAGGGAAACATCAGTTGTGTGGTTGCCTCTTGTGCGCCCCCCACTGGAGACCTGGCCCACAACTCAGGCATGTGCCCCAAGAGGGAACCGAAGTGTGACCCCTTGGTTTGCAGGCCAGGTGCTCAATCCACTGAGCCACACCAGCCAGGGTGCATTCTGGGAAAATTCTGAGAAAGAACAGCCTAACTGGCTTCCCCTGCAATGTGCCAAGCTAATGTGCCAAGGCTCAAGAGCGCTGGTACAAGCAGCAGGAGACTTTGATTAGGTACGTGCTCACCTGCCCCATGGCCGGTCACCTTCCTGCACCCCCAGCCCCTCATGAAGGGGCACGGAAGAGGGGCTCTGGTCAAGGCCCTCTGACTTACGGGTGGCTCGAGGCTTGAACTGCTCCCGGCTGTAGGCCCCGTTGGCCTGGCACAGGCTGGCAGGCCGGAGGTGCGGCCGGGCCACCAGGATGGGAGGCAGGCAGACGGCGGAGTCCGGCTGCTTGGGAGGCAGGGCCCTCTGGCTGGAAGTCGGGCTGCAGTGGACGGGCAGCGTGTCTCCTCCTGGGAACGGGGGCTGGGGTGGAGGAATCCACTGGCTTTTTTTTTTTTCATTTTATAAATGCTGGCTGTTCCAACCAGGCCAACGGTACAGCAGAGTCTTCCCTTCTAACCGCCCTCTACAATGGGCAGTGGTAACAATCTGCTGGTCTCGGTCCCTTCTTTCTGGTGCATATGTAAACAGTCAAGATACGTGCACTTAGGTTAAGGCTCGACTTTCAAACAGCGTGCCGTACTCTGTTCCACTCACTTAACAACCCCCCCACCCCGAACATCTCCCCGACCGCTCCATTTCTACGTGGCTGCTTTTTCAGCCGTGTGCTGGTCCTCACAATAGCTATGTTCTATCTGTAACTAGTCTCCTAGTTTCAGAAATTCAGGCTGTTTTCATTATTTTTTTACTGCTTCAAATTGTGCTACAGTAAACGTTCCTGTACCGTAAACATCAAGGCCTCCTACCGGTGCTTCTGTTTCTATAGGTGGGTTCCTAAAACCCGCTTGGTCCACGGGTGAGGAGGGGAGGTTTGGCGGGTAACAGATTCCCTCCCCACCGCACGGCCCAGCCCACAGCGGGGACAGTGGTCGGGGAGACGAAGTCCTGCCTTGGGGCGCCTGCACCGGGCTGCGGGGCAGGGGAAACACCCGCATACAGCACGTTAGGGGGTGGAGTGCAGACTCCGTCAGCGCAGGGTTTACAATTTAAATCGGGGGGCCAGGGGAGCCCTGGTGAAGAGGGTAACGTCTGAGAAGAGACCCAACAGTGGTGAGGGGCCCAGCACTGCGGACACTTCAGGGAAGGGCATTCGAGGCTGAGGGGACAGCCAGAGCAAAGGCCCTGAGGCGGGAACGTGCCTGGAGTGTTCGGGGTGCAGGGAAAGGAGTGAGCAAGGGGGTGTCGTGAGAGTAGAGGTCAGAGGGCATGGAAGACAAGAGACGCACAGGGCCTTGTAGGCCTCTGGAGAGATGGGCTCGCTCATTGTGTGAGGGTGGAAGCTGCCAGAGGGTTGGAGTCGTCCTTATGGATTGAAGGGCAAGCAAGGGGCCAGTTGAGGGGGGCAGATGGGGGTCTTGGAGATGAGAAGTTACCACTGAGGCGTCTGCTCCACGGACCTGGAATAGATGGGGCTGCGAGAAATTCCCATGGACCTCCTCCTTCACACGTCCTCCACCTGGGGCCACGGCTTTGCACATCTTTCGTTTCTAAAGAGACGCCGAGCCTCCTAGAATGTCCCTCCCGCTCCCTCCACTCGCTGTTGCTGCCCGTCCAGTGCCAACGCTGCCTCTTCCTCTGGCCCGTTCCCAGCACATGATCACAGCCCGAGTGGTCCTGGGAGTTCGGGTGAAGGAGAGAAATGTGTGGCCTGTGACAGAATTTGAACTAAAGCTCGAAGCAACAGTAGGATTTGGTTAAGAGGAGATTTTAGAAGAAAGTAGACTCCGCGCAAATGCTTGGAGGCAGTTAAAAAAAAACTTCCAGGGGGAACAACACTGCCAGGTGTTCAGTGGTGGCCCAGCCACCAGTGCAGTTCGTCCTTCACCAGATACTGAGCGCCCAGGTGCTGGGGCCGCCGCAGGGAACAGGACGGATGTAGTCTGTGGTCTCCCGGCGTTCACTCCCAGGGGGGTTTCTAGGACAGTCTCCGGGTAATGGAGCTCCAGGGGACACCGGCTTGCTAGCACATTGCTGTGCGTGGAGACTGGGCTGTGGTTTGGATGTGTTACGACATTCTGGCACCCTGAGCTGTCCTTGTCCACAGTGAGGAAGGACGTCTGACCCCTGACCTGGCCTGAGGGAGCCTCCCTCCACCAGCCAGAGCTGAAGGGGTTCTGCCGACACCGGCCTCTCTGACTCTCCCCTCCCTCTGCTTCTGTGGCGGATCGCATGCCCCCCTGGTAGGTGCATCCTTTCTTCAGAGAAGGCAGTAGCTTTCTGTAGATTCTGCTAAAACTGCAGGCTTGCTCTGGCACTCTCTCTCTTAAAGGCCTCTGTTCTCATCCAGTAAATGCTGATTCAGTGAAATCTCAGAAAGTAAGGTTGCTTTCAGAATGTCCTGCCTGTGCACTTCCACTTATTTAAATGATACAGTGAGTGAGCTGGTCAGAGGTGAGCTGTGGAAGAGCTTTCTTTGCACAGACTTCCCAAGCTGGGATTCTGCCCGTATTCTTGTCTCCACCAGCTAAGCTATGAATGCACAGAACGACAGGACACACACACTGTCCTCTCCTCTGAGAGCTCATACGGTGTGTGTGTAACAGGAAGGGACAGACAGCAGACGGGACAGTTCTGAGACAACTCTGGCTGGGCAGGAAGTTTCGATTATTCTGTGATTCCCTGGGAAGGTTGGCTGGGCAGGAGGCTTGTAGTTATGCAGCACCCATGCCGGGGCGGGGGGCGGGGAATAACAGAGGCCCCACAAGGTCGGTTCCCCAGGGGCAAGATAAAAAATGCTACACTATACAGTTTTGGTGTTTTAAAATGATGTCTTCTGCTCCTTAATATGGAGGAGCATTAAAAACGTGGCCCAGAATCACTGCCCAGGAAGCCTCCGTGGACGACTCTTACTTTTCATGGCGTCCATGATGTGGCGCTGTTGGAATTCAGTCAGCTGGGACTCCTTCATCATCACTGCAACAGAAAGCACTCCAGTGAGGCCGCCTGGGCTGCAGGCAGAAGCCTTCATCCCACCCCACTGCAACTCAGAATCGTGTCACCTCTACCCCCATTCTGCACCCGAGCACCCCCTCTCTACCTCCCCTGCTTCGTTATTTGTCTACAACACTCATCACTATCTAAGTTCTATGGATTTTACTCATTTGTTATTTGTTACCCTTCTACTAAACATTAGCACCATGAGAGAAAAACATTTTTGCTGTTTTCTTCCCTTCTTTTTTTATGCTGTATCCTCAGCACCTAGCACGAGGTCTAAAGCACATAGTGGGCTTTAAAATTTTTTTTCATCGAGTGGATGAATGAAAGAACAAGTATTCATTAAGCGTGTGTCAGACACTGGAGCTGTGATCGGAAGCCCAAACAGGAACAGTCCTGCCTGCCCTGGTGGCACAGGCTAGGAGGGTGGATAAGTCCTGACCCAATGGAGCACACCGGATAGCTGATTACAGGTTACACTCTGTGATGAAGAGCGAGGTAATGTCTGATAGTGTGAAGGTAAATAACAGTCGGTTGCACGATGGTGGGTGGGGAGGAGCTGGGCTTCCCGGGAGGGAATGCAAAGTGTGCTCTAAGGAAGCACAGGAGTGTTCTACTCTAAAGTCCTTAGTTCTTTAATTTTTAGCCACTTGCAAGTTGTAGGACCCGAACCTTCCTGAACCCAAGGCTTCTCATCTGTAAAATGAAAATAGCATGGCTAAGCTACAGGTCATGTGGGGGAGACCTGAGTTTCAGGGGATAACTGGTACCACCGCACTTCCCCTGTCCTGTAAGCGCACTGACCTCTGAGGAGCTCGCATGTCTCAGGGGTATAAGTAGCCTGCTTGGGGCGGTGCCAGAACCGCGTTCCTTTGGTCACTGCCTCCATCCTCTCCGAGGAAGCCATGGGAAGGCCTTGCGGAGGGAAAAAAACGCAATGACACATCCCATCTTCCAGGTCTAATCTCTACTCCCACATCAGGCCCCTGACACCACCAAAGTCTGGGAACGACGCCGCCCGTCACTATTGGGACAGTGCCCGATCCTTCCACCCCGAACAGATGCTCTGGCAGATACACTCACGAACGGGGACCTCATCTTGACCCCGGTACCTGTGGCAGGGAAAGCCCTAGGAAAGGGACCTTCAGATAGCCGTGGGCATGACAGTGCCCGCTGGGTGTTACGCCCAAATTGAAACCTCACCCTAAAGTAAGACCCCAGCTGGGTGGGTCACTCCACAGACAGCGGCAGCTGGTCTCCGTAGACCGTAAGTAGGATTCTGCCGCGGCATAGCTGTGGAACTGGTAACTAGATGCTCTGGCTACCATGGTAACGAGCGCTAGCTTCTTGGCGCATGCGTACACTTAACGGCTCTGGCCTGCCCCCTGGAAGTGATTGCCTCGGGGTCACGGCGCAGGCGTAGAGTACGCGAGTTGCTGCTCGAAGTGGAGACTGTTCGCGGGCCTCCGCGTGGGTCAGGGGCGCACAGCCTGGTCGTTGCGGAGCGGGCGTGATGTCAGACAACGAGGACAAGTGAGTGCGGACGAAGTGGCCTTTGCAGATTCGCGGAAGAGGCGGACCCTACTTCACGTAGGAGCCTGGATCGAAGGAGGCTGAGGACCCAGGCATCTAAGGGACTGGGGCTGCTGAAGGGAAGCAGGGAAGGGCGGGGACCAAAAAGCAGAGCCAGGGTGTGGGCATAGCGGAGCTCAGGCTGGAGGGTACTGAGAGGATCAGTGGAAAAGGTGTCTCCCAGCAAACGTCCCCTGAGCCGGGCGCTGCGTCTTGTTTTGGGAATATTGAGGTGTGTTAGGCATAGTCCCACGTGCTCCCTTTCCAGAAGACGGACAGGCCCGTAAACAGGTTAAGATAGCATCTTGCGAGACTAGGCAGTAGAAGCACGTAGTACGGCAGGTCCTCGAATAACGTCGCTTTATTGCAGCGTGGATGAGATGCTGTAGGAACTTAACTCCGCTTTATATCAGTTAGCCTGTGGTGAAATGGGTTTTTCATTATGCTCTGTTCTGCTTAAAGCTGCAGAACCTGTCTACAGTGTTAAGTGACGACTTAACTGTGTAGAAGTTCTCCTGAAGAGGGTCTGGTGAGACTTGGAGGGGAGATCGGTCTGGAAGGGTGGGGTCATCTGGGGAGAGAAAGGAGTGGCTTGCCCTAGGGAGACAGTCGTAGAGGGAGTGAGAGGTGGTTTTGAATTCTGGATTAATTTTGAAGCTAGGGCCAAAATGATTTTCAAATGGGGGCCCAAGGAGCGGTGTCTTCTGAAGGTAAAAATAGGGGCGTGGTCAGCATATCGGTCAAAACTGAGAAACAAGTGAGGTCATCAGGGGAGTTTCGGTGAGGAGATGGATGAGTGTTGGGGCATCCCAACAGGAGTGCTTGGCAAAGCCAGGAGCAGTCAAGGGGGAAAGGACAAGAGAGGGAGGTGTCCTTGTAGTCAAGTGAGGAGAGTGTGCAGAGGAGAGGGAGTGGTCTAGTTTGCCAACTGGTAGGTCAACCTAATGAGGACAAGAACAATCCATTGGATTTATTTGCTTATTTTTAAGATTTTATTTATTTACTTTTAGAGAGAGGGGAAGGGAGGGAAAAAGAGAGACATTGAGTGTCTCCCTCCCGCATGCCCCCAACTGGGTACCTGGTCCACAGCTTAGAACTGGTATCCCCTCGGTTTGCAGGCCAGTGCTCAATCCACTGAGCCACACCATCCAGGGCAGATGTAATTATTTTTGAGTTAAATTTATTGGGGTGACATTGGTTAATAAGATCATATGTTTCAGGTGTTTATTTCTATGACACAGTGATCTGTGTATTGCACTGTGTGCCCACCCCAAGTCGAACCATCTTCCGTCACCATATATTAGCCCCCTCTCCGCCATGGAAAATGTTAACAGACTTGAAAGAAGGAGTATTTCTGATGAAGCAAAGTTATGGCAGAATGGGAAGAGAACAGTGGGAAACTGACATGGGACAACTCTTACATGAATTTGCCAACTTTTCCGTGCTCCACAGAGCATGGAAATTGGGCCCTGTGGAATGGAGAAGTTTTGTTTTTAAAGATGGGTAGTAATACCACTGATATGCTGATGGCAGTGGTCCTGTAGAGAGAGGAAAGGAACGGTGACGATGAATGAGTCCCAGCACACTCGGGGGCTGGTGGGGGTCTGTTGGAAGGAGTAAAATGAAGCACAAGTTCCATTTACTCATCGAGTGGATATTTATTGAGCACATCCTGAGTATTGATGAGACACTCCCTTGCCCTCTTTGGTTCTAATAAATGATGCTCTAACTACCGGCCTCTTCTTGTACAGTTTTGATGGCGACGACTTCGATGACGTGGAGGAGGACGAAGGACTAGATGACTTGGAGAATGCTGAGGAGGTCAGTGTTTAGCCTTGGGCTCCTCCCTCTGCAGCCTGGGCTGCCAGGTGGGCTGCCAGATGACCTGGCCAATGACTGTTCCCCAAGAGCATCTGCCACCCATCTGTGGTCAGAGTCCCCGCCACAAGCAGCCCCACAAGACTGAGCAGAGTTCAGTTGTGTGGAGTGGAGTTGCCCTGCAGGGTGGGCTTGGAGGCTTTTGTCCACTTGGATCACAGCCGTGGCTTCTGGGACAGTCGGTTCACTGGTGGGTGAAACATCACCCTCATTCATTCAACAAATGAGTTGAATGTTCGTTATGTGCAAGGTGCTCTGCAGGGTGGGGCTGCATAGGATCCTGCAAGGGGGACAGCGACCTGGGAAAATCTGGAGGTGAGGGCCCAGATCAGGCAGGTTCCATAGCCTAAATGCAGTGGGAGGCCGCAAGTTCTGAGCTCAGGAGTGGCACAATCCAGTTTGCATTTTATTTTAATTTAAAAAAATTCTTATTTTTATTTTATTTTTTAGAGAGAAGGGAAGGGAGGGAGAAAGAGAGGGAGAGAAACACCAACATGCGAGAGAAACATCAAATGGTTGCCTCTTGCACGCCCCCAACGGGGTGCCTGGCCCACAACCCAGGCACGTGTCCTGACTGGGAATTGTACCAGCAACCTTTCAGTTCACAGGCCGGTGCTCAGTCCACTGAGCCACACCAGCTGGGGCCTAGTTTGCATTTGAGAAAGAACATTCTGGTCTCATAGTGAAAAGTGAAGTGGGGAGGAACAAGAGTGAAAGACCAATGAGGGAACTCTCAGACCCACAGGTGAGAGACCTGTGGCTTGGACTTGGGCACTGCCCGTGTCAGTGATGAAAAAACAGATGAAGGAGTATTTTGGTGGGTTGAACATGGGGAGGAGAACGTGGGAGATGGTGAGGACAACTCCTAGGTTTCTGGCTTGAGTAACTATGTGTATGGGTTGCTCTCTTCATGAATAAAATAGTGCTTTCTGTCTTGTGTGGCTGATGGCAGAAGTGCTTCGTGTCTCCTGCAGAGTGATCCTTGATTTTTCAGGCTGGGAAGCTGAAGCCCCTCTCTCCGAGTGTTCTGCACGGCTCTCTCAGCACCCATCTTCTCTGTCAGAAACCTCTTCTCCATCCTTCTGCCCCCCTTCCCTTCCCTTCCCATCCTGTCACTTCTGCCTCCAACGTGTGGTTCAGCCCTGCCCCCTTTCCACATTCCTCGTGCTCAGCCTGGTTCAGTCTTCATTGCTTTTCACCAGGGCTGCTGCGGAAATTGTGTTCCTGGCTTTCCTGCCTTCAGGCTCTCTGAGTGCCTTCCTGCTGCCGGCGTCGTCTCTCTTACTGCCAACATGATCGATTACCCCCGGTCTTCCTAAAATGGTCTCTTGGCTTCTGCCCTTGTCCCTGCAGAGTATCCAGAGTGATCACTGTAAATGTTGAGTCAGATCGGTCTCTCTTCTGCTCAGAATCTTCATCCCGTGGTTTCCCATCTCATTCAGAGTAAACACCGTAAAGATGTACAAAGTTCTCCATGACCTAGTCACTTGCTCAGCTCTGTGACCTCATCTCTTCTTGCCATCCCTGTCATACCAGGCAGATTCCTGCTGGGACGTTTGTTCATGCTGTTCCCTCTGCCAGGAACGCTTTCTCCCAAGACACCCACATGCCCTGCTGCTCGCCTCCCTCGGGTCTTTGTCCAGGTCACCTAATGCAGCCTTCCGTGACCATCCCATCTAAAATCGCAGCTTTCTCCCCCTCATCCTGCACCACTGCCCCAGCACTTCCTGTCCTTGTTCTCTGTTATCATACCACAGTTTACTTACTAATTTTATTGTTTCTCTCATTGTCACATAAGCTCTACAGGGGAAGAATTTTGTATCTTACTGTTCTGTCTCAAGCAGTTAGAATACTACCTGATATGTAGTAAATGCTCAGTAAATATTTTTTGACTTAATTATTTTTTTTTTATTTTAAGAGTACACTTACTAAAGGTGGGACAGTGAGACAGAGAGGGCTCAGGGTAGAAGAAGCAGCAGGAGAGCCCAGGCGCTGCTCTGCTTTGGTCTCTAGAAATGTTACAGGAAAGAAGCAAGCCAGGGTGGGGCTTCTTTTAGCTCACCAAAAAGTCAGAGAAAAGGGGGCCTTGGAGACAGGTTCAGGGGAGGAGCCGCCAGTGCCCGCTGCTCCCCTGGTTGCAAGTCTCATGGGAACCCTTAGAGTTTAGGAGGGAAAATTAAAGATGTACACCTGAGAGGGAAGAAAGGCGTGGGCGTGCTCCAGAGAGAGCTCGCCAACTTAACTCATTATTACGGGATTTAGCCCCGGCTGGTGTGCCTCAGTGGATTGAATGTGGGCCTGTGAACCAAAGGGTTGCCAATTCGATTCCCAGTCAGAACACATGCCTGGGTTGCAAGCCAGGTCCCCTCTGGGGGATGTGCAAGAGGCAACAACATATTGATGTTTCTCTCCCTCCCTTCCCCTGTCTCTAAAAATAAATAAATTTAAAAAGAATTTATTCTCCTGCCTACGCCCATATGTGCACCTTTGCTCTATTTAGGCTCCACAGTTAGTTATCAACCCTGGTGCCTGCTCTCCCTCCTCTCTCCTTTGGACTTGCACTTCAACCTGCCCGAAATGCCCTTCCCTTCCTCCTGGGCTTGGGAACTCCTGCTGATTCTTCTAGACTAGCTCAAGTCTCATCTCCGCACTGTCTTCCCGGCCCCCTGCGTGACTTAGGTACCCCCTCTCCTCCTTGGTACCTTCCTTGAGCACTCACGTACCTTCAAAGCACCTGCCGTTGTGTGTACTCTGCCTCCTCCCAGACCGTGGGTTCTCTGAGAGCAGGGACTCTTTGCTATTCTGATGTCTGGCGTGTGACCGAGGCTTAATAAGTAATTGTAAATATATGAATATGTATATATATGAAAATGCCTGGCACATTTCTGCCTT